TGGAAAGTGAATTTGCTCTGTAAACTTTCACCCAAATCACAATAAAAATAATTTTAAAAAATGACCATTGTTCTTTTCTTTCTGGCTCAGACACCTCATTGCTTTCTGACTGACCAAGGTGCCACAAAGTTTGCAACAGCCATGGGGGTGCCACAGATTCCTGGGGAGCAGCTGGTGACAGAGAGAAACACCAGGCGCCTGGAAAAGGAGAAGCGTGAGAAAGGGGCTCAGAAACCAGACTGTAGAAAGTAAGTGTCATTTCTGGCTCATGTTGTGGGGAGTGTACTCAAAGGTCAAAGAAAATATCTGATTGTCTACATTTGTCAAAGTCAAAGGTCATTTGGTGTTTTCAGTTTTGTACAAAAGAATTCAAACTAAATAACGGGGAAACTTCCCTACTCATTCTTAACGCATTCATGATTCCTGTGAATAGTAACTCATATTGCTTCTCTGACATGATCCGGCAGAAGAAAATCTTGCATTAGTTTATAAATCATCTGGATATTTCTTAGTTTGTAACGTTAGGTTGACTACACAGGTCTGGATGATCGTGTCTACCTTATGAGTTAACATCCTGTCCTAGTGCAGAAAAAATCTGTATGGCTCTTAAACTTATGATTATCATATGTTCTAAATTCAGATTTTCTGTTACAGGTTTCAAAACCCAAATAAAAGCCCCTATTTAAAGGAAAATTTGAAAATAGCTCCGTCACAGTTTAGGAGATAAGAAGTCTGAATTCAGGGTGCCGGCTGTAGGGGAAGGCTCTCCCCCTTTGTCAGCTCTGGGGGAAGGTCCTTTTCTTTTTTCAGCATTTGTGGGCCCAGTGTTCCGTACAGATCTCCACGTATCTTGGCATCCATCTCCCCCTGGGTCTCGTATGTTCTCAGCACGGGGACCTTGGGTCCAAAGGACATACCCTACTCCCTGCTTTTCTTTCTTGGTGCCGCTGAGGTCTCTCCTTCTCTGGTCACTTCTCTCTCCTTTTATCTCTTGGAAGATAAATGGTGATGCAGGTCATACCCCAGGAAACTCCCCTTACATTGGATCAGAGCTGTGACCTGAGTAAGGGTGTTACATCCCACCCCTTCCAACTGATGGGCTGATCACATCAGATCACATGATGGGGAATAATCACGTCATTACATACCTGCCAAAGTACATCGTTGTATAACTGCCAAACCACTGGGAACCGTGGCCTAGCCAAATGGATACATATTTTGGGGGGACACAATTCAATCCATGATACTACATACTTTTTATCGTAGCAATATTTAAGCACCTGGGGAGCTTTTCTTTTCCCTACCACTCATCTGTCAGTTTGCTGTACTGTGTGGCTTGCATGTTGCTGTGAGGCTAGAGGCTGGGCCACCGGTATTTCAAATACCAGCAGGGTCACCCGTGGTGGACAGGTTCCAGCAGAGCTTTCAGACTAAGACAGACTCAGAAGAAGAAAGGGACCATCCACTTCTCAAAGAATGGGGCAGTGAAAACCTTATGAATAGCAGTCACACAGTGAAATGCTGTCTGATATATCACTGGAAAACATATGAACAGCCCCGAAACATTGTCCAATATAGTGCCAGAACATGAGCCCCTCAGGTTGGAAGGCACTCAAAATACAACTGGGGAAGAGCTTCCTCCTCAAAGCAGAGTCAACCTTAATGACAGATGAAGTAATGCTTTCGGGACCTGTCTGCTGATGAGACACAACTCAAAATGAGAAGAAACAGCTGCAAACAGCCAGTAATAATCAGAACATGGACTGTATGAAGTATGAATCTAGGAAAATTAGAAGTTGTCAAAAATGAAATGGAACACATAAAGATCAATATCTAGGCATTAGTGAGCTGAAATGAACTGGCTTTGGCCATTTTGAATCAGACAACCAGATGACCTACTCTGCCGGGAATGACAAATTGAAGAGGAAGAGTGTGGCATTCATTGTCACAAAGAATGTTTCAAGATCTATCCTGAAGTACAGTGCTGTCAGTGATAGGATAATATCCATATGCCTCTAAGGAAGACCAGTTAATACTACTATTATTCAAATTTATATACCAACCACCAAAGCCAAAGATGAGGAAATTGAAGATTTTTACCAACTTCTGCAGTTTGAAATTGACCAAACATGCAATTATGACTGGTGGTTGGAATGCAAAAGTTGGAAACAGAGAAGACTCACCAGTAGTTAGAAAATATAGTTTGGGTGATAGAAATGACACTAGAGAAAGCATGATAGAATTTTGCAAGGCCAACGGCTTCCTCATTGCAAATACCTTTATTCAACAACATAAAAGGGACCGGTACACCTGGACTTTACTAGATGGATTACACAGGAATCAGATCAACTACATCTATGGAAAGAGGCGATGGAGAAGCTCAAGATCTTCAGTCAAAACAAGGCCTTTGACTAGCCTTTCAAAGAGCAGCTTGAGAAGACAAAGTCAATTATTATAATGAAATATGCGAAGACCTGGAGTTAGAAAACCAAAAGAGAAGAACACGCTCAGCCTTTCTCAAGCTGAAAGAACTGAAGAAAAAAAATAAATAAATTCAAGCCTTGAGTTGCAATATTGAAAGATTCTATAAGAAAAATATTCTATGATGCAAGAAACATGAAAAGAAGATGGAAGGAGTACTGTACCAAAAAGAATTGGTTGATATTCATTCTTTTCAGGAGGTAGCATATGATCAAGAACAGGCTGAAACTGACCAAATATGCAAATCAAGATGTGTTGATTATCACTGGTGACTGGGATGAAAAAATTGGAAACAAACAAGAATCACCAGTACCTGGAAAATATGGCCTTGGTGATAGAAATAACTCTGGAGGTTGTTATGATAGAGTTTTGCAAAACCAACGACTTATTCATTGCAAATAGCTTTTTCTCAGCAACACAAATGGTGGCTATACACAGCTTTGCCAGATGGAGTACACAGGAGTCAGATTGACTACATCTGTGGAAAGAGGTGATGGAGAAGCTCAAGATCTTCAGCCAAAACAAGGCCAGGAGCTGATTGTGGAACAGACCATCAATTGCTCATATGCAAGTTCAAGTTGAAGCTGAAGATAATTAAAAGAAGTCCACAAGAGCCAAAATATGACCTTGGTTATACCCCTCCTGAATTTAGAGACCATCTCAAGAATAGATTTGATGCATTGAACACAAATGACTGAAAACCAGAGGAATTGTGGGATGACATCAAGAACATCATCCATGAAGAATGCAAAAGGTCATTAAAAAGACAGGAATGGAAGAAAAGACCAAAATGGATGTCAGAAGAGACTCTGAAACTTGCCCTTGAATGAAGAGCAGCTAAAGCAAATGGCAAATATGACAAGATAAAAGAGCTGAACAGAAGATTTCAAAGAGCAACTCGAGACGACAAAGTCAATTATTATAATAAAATGTGCAAAGACCTGGAGTTGGAAAACCAAGAGGGAAGAACACATGGTAATGTGGAGGGTCAGAGAAAAAGGGGAAGGCCCTCAATGAGATGAATAGACACAGTGGCCGCAGCAGTGGGCTCACCAGGTATAGCAAGCATCGTGAGACTGGAGCAGGACCAGGCAGCACTTTGTTCTGTTGTGCAGAGCCGACCCAACAGCACCTAACAACCACAGCAAGGGAGTGTTTTCAAAATCCACTTGTCTGGGCTCCGTCCCCAAAGAATCTAATTTAATGGATCTGATGTGGTGAGATGCAGTGAACTACTTAATGTGGCCCTTCTAGCCATAGTCTTTGTAACTCCCACCAAATGACTGGGTGGGACTATGCCCACCGAGGGGATTGGACAGCTTGCTAATAATGTAAGTAAGGTACATGGCATCTTGTGGGGGTAAGACCATGCAAATATAAGGTGTATGGAGCCCTAGTGAGGGGATTGGCCAGTTTTGCCTTCCTGCTAGGCTTAAAATGAGCCGTCATAGAAGCAGAAAGAGGGACCTAACTACCACCACCAAGAAGAGACAAGAGCACAGTGTGTCCTTTGGACACGAGGTCCCTGCACTGTGAGCCTCCTAGACCCATGAGACACCAAGAAGCAGCAGTAGAGGCAGCAGAACCAGGAGACCAGCAGGAGACGGTGTGGTGAGCTTCCCAACCCGTGGAACAAGACAGCTGAGCTTTGGGCAGGAGGCTTGCTGGTGGAGTGGGGTGCCTCTGGGCATTTGGTGGAGCTGGGCTTGCCAACCCATGGCGTGAGAGAGTTGGGCACCTCCAGGCCAAGGTTTCCTGGTGGAGTGGGGTGCCTCCAGGCACTTGTGGTGGAGCTAAGGAGCTCTGTGATGCTGACAGGAGCAGCACAGAGGCCAGGCCAACACAACAGGGCCCAGAGGCCGAGGAGCCAAGGGCCCAAGGAGCCAAGGGCCAGAGAGAGGGCTGTCTGCAGTCCCAGCAGAGAAGAGACTGTGCTTCTAGAAGAACTAACTGTATCGTGAGTCATTTCTGATCTTTAATTGTAACCTTTCACTTGACTGATAAACCACATAATCATGAGTATCATCTGAGTTCTGTGTGGCCATTGCAATGAATTATCAAACCCATCAGAGAAGCAGGGAGTACGGTGTGAGAGATGGCTGGTGTGAGAATTGGTAAAATGGGTGGAGAGAGGAGGTAGGTCTGACTTCTACTTCATAGGAATCAGATTCTCTCTCCGTCTTGGAAAGTCAGAGGTCAGACACCTCCACCACGCCATTTTTTTACAGGTGGATTTGCCAGGCATGCACGTTATGAAAAAGTTTCCCAGGTAAAAAAGAATCTGCTTTACAAGGCTGGCCATGTGTTGAATGTGTTGCTGTTGTTACCTGTGTGTTATGGTATCAGTAGCCTGAGATCACAGGAATGGGGCTGTTTTCTCAGTGGTTCATGGATTAGTGTTAATACATGTTGTCAGATTGCTTTCCAAAAATTGTGTCGTGACGCACATCTCCACCAGTCAGAACTGCTCTTAGATATAAGGATGACAGGCTTCTAGGCCTCCCCTGAGAGGGACCTCTTATCACAAATAAAACAGTTGCTATGTCACAGAATACGTGATCACTTTGTCTCTCTGAACCTGGTGGTCAGCATTGGCACAGCAGGACCCGTAGCCCTAATGGTCCACTCTTGTGACTAACACCATTGAGAGCCCAGGGAGACTCTTCTCCACATCTCTTGCTCTTTGTCTTGGAAGCTGCCCGAGTCCAACCGTTTGTGGGCCATGCCTCTGCGGACCCCAGACCAGATGCTGCCCTGGAGCTTGGGGAGGATGTGAGCAGCAGCAGGACTTGGTGAGAGAGAAGACACGTTACCTCCTCAGATGGATTCACGCATAAGGAAGCATTGTTTCCCAGTGGCACTCTGGGTCCGTTTTCTTGCAGCCTGACACATTGCGGTTCCTGGTTCTGGAAGTATTTGTGGATCAGCACAGTGTTTGCAAGCATTGCATGTATAGGCCGAGGAACATTTGGCGGCTAATTGAAGGATTCCTTTTACTGTTACGTTTGTATATAGACAACTCTGGGTCAGCACTTCCCAGTAAAAATACCATGAGGGCCACATATGTGATTTAAATTTTTTAGTAGCCACATTAAAAAGAGTAACACTGCTGGGATTACTAAAGTATTTTACTTGGCCCAATATTTTAGACGTAATTAGATTTTTCAACATGCAATCAGAAGGAAATTATTTATGAGATTTTGTTTAAGGCAACAGACTCTTTACTTGTGAGATGTTTTATTTTTATTTTTACATGATTAGCAAGCTGTCCAGTCCCCTTGGTGGGCCACAAGCACCTCACATGTGCATCGCCCCACACAGTCATCTGGTGGGAGTCACAGGGACCATGGCTAGAAGGGCCACACCAAGCCATTCAGTGCACCACACTTCACAATATTTTCAAAGTGTGTTTATCACAGTGAGATGACAGAACATATTTGTAACTTGGCAGAATTAAACATACAGTATGTGGGCCTCCATTGGTATTCTTGCCCCATCCCCTTGCACATATTAGGGGCAAGCCTACCCCCAGCAATGACCGGGGGTGTGTTTTTCCTCACCGACAGGTGAAGGGTGACACAGATGCTTTAATTTGCCGTTCCCTGACTGTTAACCAGCGTGAGAATCTTGCATGTGTTAGCGGGTCATTTTTTTCTGTGAACTTGCCTGTTTCTGTCCTGTGTTCATTTTTTCCTCTGGAGTTGTTTTGTTCCTGTCATCAGTCTGAAGCACTAGGCTGTGCCCCGTGTCATGCAAGAAACTTCCCTTAATCTGTTGTTTTTGTTAGCTTTCACTTTATGGTATTTTTGCTATGTAAAAGTTTTTTTTTTTTAATTGTTTATTTGTAAACAAACACTTTTACAGTTTAGTTAAGACTATAAAGGTATAACTTCTCTAAACTTAGAAGGTATCACCCATCCTGAGATATAGTCACCTATTTTTCTTGAAGGGTTTTGTTTTCTTTTTCAGATGTGAGTCTTTAGCCTCTGTAACTGGCTCTTGTACACTGTGATGACAGAGAGGGCTCTGGCTTTCTCTTCTCTTAGGTAGAGAGTTGGATTTCTCCAGACCCGCTCTCAGCCTTGAGTGTTAAACGCTGTCTACTCTTCCGTCCCTCCATTTCATTGCCTAGTGGGTACCTCAAGCTTATGTCCAAAATGGAACTTTTTATTTCCCCACCCCACCCCATTCCTCCACACATATCAACAAAACAAAAAATCTACCCCTGTAAGCTTCTTGTTACTGTTGTTATTTGTTGCTGTTGTTGTTGTTGTTAGGTGCCATGGGGTCGGTTCTGACTCACAGTGACCCTGTGTACAACAGAACGAGAAACTCTGCCCAGTCCCGTGCCAGCCTCACAATCCTTGCTACATCTCGGTAAATGGTTCTTATGTCCCTCAAGTTGTTCAGGCCAAAAGCCTTAAAGTCATTCCTGATTTTTCCTTACCTCGCATCTGGCCCACCTACCAGTCCTATCAGCTCTCCCTTCAAAGTGGCCCATCCCCAGCCCACTTCTTCACCCGCTTCACTGGCACCAAGCTAACACGCACCATCTCTCCAAGCCTCCTGACAGGCCTCTGTCTGCTCTTCCTTGGTCAACTCCGCACAGTAGCCAGAGTGATACTTAATATAAACTTTCTGTTGAAGTCAAGCACACATCCAGAAGAGTATAATCATGTTAGTACACCTTGATGAATTTTCACAGAGTGAACACACCCTGTCGCCAACACCCAGATGGAGAAACGGCTCCTGGCTGGACCTCTCCCTCACGCCCTTTGTATTCACTGCCCTCCTCCCTGGTAACCACTTGCCCGACTTCTGAGCCCAGAGGTTAGTTTTGCCTGGTTTTGAACTTTAGTTTAGTGGAATGACATAGCATGTACTCTTGGGTTACCTTCTCACAACTTCAGGTTTATGAACTTTGTCCACTGGTTGCATGTAGCGAGTTCACACATTCTCACTGCAGGACAGCTTTCCATGTCATGAGTACAACACAGTTTATCGCCCTTCAGTGGACATCTACTTTGTAACGTTTGTGCCGGACGAAATCTTTAATCTCTTTGTAGTTGAACACGGTTTCAGTTTGGGGTTTCGTGAATAGTGCTGCTTGGACATTGGAGACACAGCTTTTGGTGAACGTGCGTCCGTATTTCTGCCGGTCGTACATCTAGGTTTGGTGAACGTGCGTCCGTATTTCTGCCGGTCGTACATCTAGGTTTGGTGAACGTGCGTCCGTATTTCTGCCGGTCGTACATCTAGGTTTGGTGAACGTGCGTCCGCATTTCTGCCGGTCGTACATCTAGGAGTGTCATTGCCGAGTCACAGAGCATACGTATGTTCAGCCTCAGTAAATATTGCCAAATGGTTTTCCACAGAGTTTGTATCAAGCTCTGCTCCCAGGAATAAGAATTCCAGTTCCAACACGTCCTTACCAACACTTGATACTGTCTCTTTGTTCATTTTAGCCATTCTGATGGATGGTGGTGGCAAGAATGGTTCCTTTTAAAACTTAACTCCTATCATGACACATCTCAGGTCAAAGTCTCTGGTGTCTTCACATCTTACTCAAAATAAAGCCCTTAAGAAAACCCTCACTGTGGCCTATAAGTAGAACGACCGTATGATGTAATGTCCAGACTGGAACTTTCTGGCAGTGGAAGGGGCCACTATTAATAATTAGGTCCGAATGCCAGGCATAGGTCAGGACTGTCTTGAGTAACGAGGATGTGTGGTCAAAGGCTTCATGGTCTGGCCTCTGGCTGTCCCTCTGCCCTCCCTCCTCCCACTCCCCCCTCCCTTTATTCCCTCCAACCGTGGTGGCCTCCTGAAACTCCTGTGACGTGTCCAAGGCTGTTCCTGCGTCAGCAGCCTTCTTCCCCTGGTCCGCTCGGCCAGCTCTGCACCTCCTTCAGGGGCCCTCGACCAACCAGCCCTCCACCTCACTCCCTCCCCGCTCTGCTGGGCTCTTCGTTTTTGTTGCCCCTGAAATAAGTATTGCTCCCTCACCACCACCACCCGTGGCCCCACGTGCAAGCTCCATGGAAGTAGGCACTTTGCCCATTAGTTTACTGCTGTGTCCCAGCACTTGAAACAGGGCCTAGGATACAGTTCATTATAGAATTGAAGTGTCATTATAAAATCTTGCAAATGTTTTAGTTAATTTTTAATTAATAATAAAACATTGGGAGAAAAGGTTATCGGGCTTTCACAACAATGCCATTGAGTCGGTGCTCAAAGTCAGGGGCTGGCAGCATCAGCAGGTCCTGGGAGCTTGTCAGCAACGGGGACTCGGGTCCCCCCTGACCCTGTCCACTCAGTATTGGGGCTGGAGCCCAGGAGTCCGGGTGCTTCTTAGGCACACTGAAGTCTGAGGTACATTCTCTATTAGTTTTCACCCCACTTTACAGATAGAAACAGTGAGGCACAGGGAGGAAAACTGAGGTCACACAGCTAGAAAATAAGGGGGCTGGAGTCACCCACTGGGCCTGGAACTGAACTCAGTCCCACAGCTTCCAGCCAAACAGTAGTCAGGCATGTGGGGTGAACATTGACACCAGGTGGGTACACTCCTGGGAAGGATCAGTCATGGGAGAATAGAAGGGCAGTGTTTGCACGGGGAAATAACTCAGGGCAGGGATGGATAAGAAAGAAGGACACGGGGAAGAGGTGACTATGGGGAGAAAGTGGGAGGGGAGCTGTGACATGATGGGGAATTGCAGTCGATGTCATGAGACACAGTGTATGAGCTGCTGTATGGAAAATGAATTTGCTCTGTAAACGCTCACCCAAATCATAATCAAAATAAAAAATTAAAAAAAGAGGGGGGGTGTTGGGATTGTATGCCCTCTTAAAGCTGAGGCCAAAATAAAAACAAAACAAAAGCCACGCCATCCAGCTGGGACTGCTTGAATACAGATGAGAACACGAACAGGCCTCCTTTGTCATATTCCTGCGAGTCTGGAACGTTGGAAGCAAAGCACATCCTGTTTGCCACCAACTATCATGTGGGAGTGTATGTGGTATTCCGCTAAGTGGGTCCTCATGGCAGTGTTTCTCTTAAATCTGTTACTTTTTTATGTTTGTTTTTGACAGATATTTGGGAACCGTGGGTGCTGTTGCCCTGGACTGCAATGGGAACGTCGCTTACGCAACCTCGACGGGAGGCATTGTCAACAAGATGGTTGGCCGCGTGGGGGACTCTCCGTGTGTAGGTAGGACAGAGGGAGCTCTTGGCCTGGCCCTTTGCTTCCCTGTCACCAGGCTCTACTCGTTCTCCAGCCTTCTCCTTGTCTCAGTTTGACTTCCCTTCCCTCCGTGGTGGCAGCTTCAGAGGCCCTGGTCGTGGTGACTGGCCTGGAAGGGGCTGCTTGTAGCTGGTATCTGTTCTTCCTAGATTCCGTATCTACTGAGGATGACTTGGGGGAAGAGATGGAGGACCCTAAAGCTGTCCCCAGGCCACCAAATGCCGCCTCTTGCTTTTCTTAGCTCCAGGTGTAAGAGCTGTGGACTTAGTCCCAGAGGGTTAAGTACCTGAAACCTCATTTCAGATGTTGTTGTTGTTAGCTGCTGTGGGGTTTCTCCCTACTGGTCGCAGATGGAGCAGAACCCCGCCCGGTGCTGGGCCCGCCTCACATCCTTGCCTTGCCTGCGCCGGTCGCTGCAGCCACTGTGTCAGTCCACCTCATGGAGGGTCTCACCTTTTCCTCTGATCCTCTCCTTTACCAAGCGTGCTGTCCTCCTCAAGGGGCTGGTCCCGCCTAACAGCGTGACCAAAGCAGGAGAGACAGAGTCTGTCCCTCTTCATTCTAAGGGGCATCCCAGCTGCACCTCCGAGACAGACCTGTTCATTCTTTTGGGAATCCATGGTGCATTCAGTACTCTTTACAAACATCACAACTCACAGGCGTGAGTTTGCATTAACAATCTAAGGACGCAGAGAGTGTCACTTTGCAGTTACTCTATTTGAGTGGCATTAGTAGGTCCCCAAAGTGACACGATTCTACTATTACAGATAGACGTGCTCTCTGCATTAACATGGAAGCCCGTTACCTAGTCCTCAGGGGTGGGTAAGTGGTGGAGGTGGGGTGGGGGTGAGACTTGTCTGTGAGAATTCCCAGTAACCCCTGCAGATGACTGGAATTTTGAGAAAGAGTTCAATTGTCGTGTCTGCCCAAAAGAAGAGCTTAATTTCTAGTAGAAAACCGACCCTGCCTTCCCTTTGTGTTAGCTGTTCTAGTCTTCAGTGACAATCTGTGCTGTTGACAACTCTTGATACCCTGCATCCTATTGCAGAATTAGAGGAAACTCTCGAAGCTTCTTTAAAGAGTTGAGGCCTGATAACCTCACTTAACCCTATGAAGTAGGACAGTCTCCTTTTTCCTCCTTAGCAGAAATCCAACTCATATATGCCAAGTCATTGGCGTAGCCCAGTTTCTGTCCAGCTGGCTTCAGACCAGGCTACAGGGTCACCTCAAGTCAGAGTCTAGAAACTAATTTCCAACTTGTTGAGTGATGACGGTCAAGTCCCCAGAGACAGAAGGCACAACCTAGACTCTCGGAAGCCCTTCTCTTGGTTATACGCCCTAAGTGTGCCTGGGCCCCACCCTTCCCACTCAGTCCAAGCTCCACTCTGCTTGACCTTTCCGACTGCTCCAGCTGGTGACAGATGACACCCTCCTAGTCCGCCCCCCCCCCCCGCCGCCATGGACAGCAGGCAGCAACATCCACTTCCAGCAACACAGTTGTCATCTTGACAAATGTATGTGTGCTGAGGATTCCCAAGGCCACCCCAGGTCCAGTGATGCATTAGGAGAACCTTCACAGAACTTACTGTGTGGTTGTACCCATGGCTACGATTTATTACAGGAGGGGATGGGAGGCAGGCATCGGCAGAGGGGTGGGCACAGAAGGCAAAGTCCAGAAGAAACCGGGCTCCAACTACAGAGTCCCCTCCCACTGGAATCACACAGGACACACTTAATTCCCCAGCAACAAGTTGTGACAACACTTGTGCAGGGGCGTCTGCCAGGGAAGCCCATTATAGACTCAGCATCCAGGCTTCTTCTGGCGACCGTTGGTCGCATAGCCTCTGCCTAACACATGCCAAAGCCCCAGAGTCTCAGAGGAAAGCAGGTGGT